ACTATACCTACACTACTAGTAGCACCTAGGTAAATAAGTATTTAACACTTATTAAAATTTTGAGTTTAATTATGTAAACGTGTATTTTGAAAATAAAGAACATTGTATTAGATGCCTTTTCTCATTTCAACTACTGAAGCAATTCTTACCAATCTAGGAACATAAAATATGAAGAATCAATTTTTAGGTGTGTCCCATTGGGAATCGAAGGTCCTTCTATAAAAACTAGATCATAGAGCCAAAAAAATATTTTTAATCTCACAGGAAAAGTCGATTTAGGAAGTATAAAGCTCGTAATTCTAGAAAAATGGTCTTCCACGAGAGAGCTTAAGGTCTCAATGCTGGTTATTTGTAGAATTACCTTTTGCCTTATCGGAGAGAAGGGGGATGAAAAGGGGAGAAAAGAGGGGTGAAAAGGGGGAGGAAAAGGGGGTGGAAATCTTGAAAAATAGCCCTAGTCTAGACTGGCGGACTGGCTGACAACTGTTTAAAGGTAAGTTATGGCGTTCTCAGTTGTCAGGTAGTATCAGTTTGTATATTTCTTTAGGGTTAACTTGTTTGTATAAGTTATTTGAAATATCTGCTGTGTTACGCTAACAATTACAAATAGTACTGATGGATGATGCATTTATGTGGAACGGAATATAATAATAATTAAAATTTATCTAAAATAGAAAGACACGGGTCTTAACGCGACGTTTATTAATGAAAATCATGTACTCACGACTTCTTGACGTTTCGGCTGCTAATGCTGCAGCCGTGGGTTACTATTTTGGTTGAAACACACTTATGGATTTTAGTTTTTAAATTGTTTCATATCGTCGTTTTATTATTTCAACAACTTTAAATTTTATTTTAATTGATTGGATGTAAATACCATGTGTGAAGCTTATTTTGTTCACTGGTCTCATTTGTGGTATGATTTAAAATCTAGTCGAATTGGATCGTATAACGCAAATTTCCACATAGGTAAAAATACACATGTTATTTTTGCAATAAATGATTTTATCTTTTGAGCCTTAACCCATTGGTCATAAAGTCTCCGCACCAAACGGAGGGTACTTGGGATTTTATCGAACGTCATTGGCAGGCATTCAGGTAGTAATCACCGGCCCTCACTGCCGAGTGACCGTCATCACACTGCGGTCGACCGTTTCACGACACATTACCTGTGTAGTGATGTGGAGGTGTCGATAGTCGATATCGATGGAATAAGATGGCCGTTTTTATTTTACGCCGCCCGTGTTATTCAGTGAAATAAAGGAGCAATGTTGTTCTGAAGCAGTGGTAGGGTTTAAAAGGAACGTGTAAAAGCGCTGAATAAAGACTAAAATAAATTACTTTTCTGACTTTAAATTACAATAAATCGGAGCTGATGGCACTGGGATGATAATAGGAAGAGTGGAACTTTATTCAAAATCGAGAATAACTGTATGGCAACGGAACAAGAGTAATGTTTTTAATATGAGAGTATCAGTATCAGCTCTCTTAATACACTAAAAAAAATACTTGTGGGTTATCTCTAGTGGCAAATGTCGTTCCTATTTATGAATAGATAAAGCCCTAGGTCGCTATTATCAATACTCCTAGATTGTTTTGTAAACTATCGATACCTTGTCGCAGCCCTAGCAAATCGAAAGGTCTCCCACGCTCATTTCACGTGACGTTACGCGAGCTGACCCGCGCGATGACCGTCCCGTCTACGCTGCGGGACGCAAATCACAAGCGGGAGCGATTATTACATTTCATGCCAGTTTTAATCAAAATCCTATAGTAAACGAAAGCGTAGAATGTTTTTGAGCACAATAACGACTTAGAACAACTGGTCTTACTCGGCTGTAAACGTCAAATAATTCGTGACACCGAAAGTAGCCAAAAAGTTCGCAACACATTTTTGTTACAATAATTAAAATTAGCTTGTGTTGTCAACTTTTTGGCCACTTTGGGTGTTAACAAACTAATTTGGCACAGGCTGTACAATACCTTGTATAGGGAACCAGATCGCTCAGTAAAACACCTATTCGCTGGTCTGAAAATTTCCAAACTCAAATAGAAACATCAGAATGCCAACAGAGAGAGATAGAGGGAGTTCGTGTAGAGAGAGCAAGCCGCGATCCTAGCGGGACAGTTTGAGAGTAATTAAAAACAAGAAGAATAGCGCTTCAAACAGAGAACTGTCGAATACCAGCTATTATGGATTTACTGTAAATATTTTCTTTGTAATATCATCAACAGCCCTTTACAGTCCACTGCTGGACTATGAGCCTCCTCCACTATGGTGGAGGGATTTGCCATAATCTCCACGCTTGGCAGGCGGGTTGGAGATCGCAGTTTAAAAGATTGATGTTTTTCAGAGAGCGCTGCTGCCCATTCTCTGTTTGATGTGTAGTCCCTAAGTCGCCTCTTACGACACCCGCGGGAAGAGTAGGGGTGGTGACAAATGTATTCTACTCTGCCGTCACCACACGGCTTTGTAATATACCTATTTTTTAACGCGAGTTGCGTTGCGAGAGACGTAATGATACATAAGCTATTCTAACCTTAAAGAAACTAACTATTAAACGCTTTTCCCTTCAACTTGTACCAACCCCTCCACTGATCGCCACGAGAGCGCCCTAAGAACGCCATCCGTTACTGGCGGTCCATGGTATGACCGACTTGAGGCTAACCATTGGGGAGTTAATTATCTGGAAGAATTTGTAGTCCAATCAGACTGGTGAGTGTCATTTGATTTGATTACTACAAGAGATGTAAGAGAAATTCCTACTAATCCTACTAATATCCTACTATCCTACTAATATTATAAATGCGAAAGTTTGGATGTCTGGATATCTGAATGTTTGGATGTTTGTTACTCTTTCACGCAAAAACTACTGAACGGATTTTGATGAATCTTTACAGTATTATTGTTTATAACCCAGAATAACATATTATAGGCTTTAAGTTTTGACGATCTGTGACAGACTAAATTTCACGCGGGTGAAGCCGCGGGCAAAAGCTAGTTTTCAATAAAAATTTAGAAATGACTGTACATTTCTCAGGTTACCTTATCAAGTTACAGTAAAGTAGAATTTGAAACGTTTTACAATTTATTATGTTTACTCAAAACATGTCAAAGCTTGAAAGCTAACGCTTTGGAGCTTTTAGATAAACATAAAAATTGCATGTTCACAAGCTCTTTATTTGCGTGCATGTTGCTAATATTACTGTTTCTGTGGAGGCTGTGTTTACATTATTTATTTTAGATGGCAATAACTCTGTTTGAGGACTGACATGAATTTTTAAAATTCTTAATACTCTGCCTGCTGCCTTTTACCACTTAGCTATGGTTCTTGAGGGTATTAGTTCGTATCCCGATGGGGACAAAATGTTTATCTAATGAGCCCTAGGACGTTTACCACAAATCTTGGTGCTATTGAACGTTTTTAGTATAATTATTTCAAAATAACTTATAATCCGCGCGTTTCTTTCTGAAAACGGGCTAAAAATTATTCTGTACTTTTCCTGGGTCATGAACTCTTTCTCTCTCTCTATCTCTCTCAATCTCTTTATCAATCATCTAAATCAGTTAAGTAGTTTAAGGCTGAGTTTAACCACCTTTGTTGTATGGAGTTCGACAGTTTTGACGTTTATCTAAGTTAAAGTAAGATGACGTGTAACTCAACTTTAGTGTGAAAAGGTCACAAACCGATAATAATATGCACACTTTCGTAATAATATTAGTAGGTACGATTAGAATTCATATATTTTTTTCTGATCTTTAGAACACAAAGTTCACTCTTAAACCAAACAAAAAGTATTGTTTGCCAAATCAAATCGGAAAACCATTAAAAGGTTTAGTTTTACAATACAAACAAAACGCCTCAGACAGAATAATAAACGCAAAGAAACAAATTATACCTAAACCGTGGAAAAAGATCAAAAGAGAAATATGGCGAAGGCAGAACCTAACACATATTCGAATGTTCTATAAATGGAAAAAAAATATTGGTTTGACTCGGTTTACTTGCCAATATTTTAAGAAAAAATCGACGTTTTTGCCTATTGACTAGTTTGATACAGACTTTTTGACAGCTGTCAAATCTTGACTCTTGCAGAGATTTTGTATGGATAGGGGATGTCACTTGTGCGCGACCCACTTACTCGTAATTTGACGAGGTATAAAATTAATTTCACACTGAAATGCAAACCCATTTTCAGGGTTACAATGAAAATATGTTTTTTATTCAAGTTGTCTCTACTGGTTAATAGTGTCATCAACTAGTTTTTAAGGCTTTGCCAAACAGCGGGCAAGGCAATGGCAATGACTGTCGAGTGTACTACATTTAGTACAAAAGTATCATGTGAAGACACTCGACAGTCGTACTGTCACACTCGTTGTTTTCCAAAGCTTTTAAAAATCTCAAATGTGTGGTATTTAGACGACGGGACCCTTGGAGGAGACCCTAATACAGTTTTGGCCGATTTAAATATGTTAACACAAAACTTTGAAAAAGCCGGTTTAGATTTAAATTTTTCAAAATGTGAATTGTTTGTACCCGACTCCTGCCCTAATTCAGATAGGGTCATTTCGAATTTTAATTCCATAGCTCCCAATATTAAAATTATTAAAAGAGATTCCCTTCGCCTCCTTGGGTCTCCTATATTGGAGGAAGCGTTTGCTTCTTTCACAGACGAAAAATTACAGAGCTTTGAAAATGTTTCGGACCGTTTACTTAAAATTAACACACACATGGCGTGCACGATTATTCGNCTATTTTATGAATTTTTAGTCACTATGGAGCGCTTCACTGGACAAGAAGCGTGCTTTTTCACCCGGATTCACAACATTACTATGAGGTCTCACGGTGCGCGTGAACGCACAGGATCCCAAAAACCTATTAATAGACAATACTTGAGTGGCTGAGTGACTTATACGAGCCAATCACGTTTCAACGCTGTGCGTTCGACTTCGCATAGCATTGCTGCTTCACTTAACCAAGCATCGCTTGTGATTACGGATATTTTTATATTTGGTTTTTACTTAAGTACGCAAGAGCGCCCGAGATTAAGCGGAGGTCTTAAGAAACACCGGGCATATTTTATACCTTTTACTGTACTTAAACTGTATTTTAACTTCAACTTAAGAGCTTCTTTATAAGGTCTAACCCGTTAGCCAGCCATATCTCACCTGGCGGTCATCGCAGCGGTAGCCTTGGCGCCATTATCAGCCGCTACGCTAGCCGAAAGCAGCGCAGTCTTCAGATCACCCTTTATGTTCTGTTTGAGCGCTTGCGCAGCGTAGTGTAAGGTGTCCAACTGGAAACAAAGTTTAGGGATACTGATAGTAAAGGTTAATATTCGTGATACCACAGAATAATAATAAGTACCACGTAACAGAAGTTTTATTTTGCGAAGGTATTTTAAAAAATGTATGCTCAATGTCATTAACAATATGGTGTAATTTAGCCTGTCTCAAGAGTCAAGCACCATTTTGTTGACAAACGTCAGTGATCGGCACTGCGCCGAAGCTATAGGGCTGACTTCGGTAAAATGATGTGACGTGAGGTGCCAAACTGCGGAAAATGGCGGAGGAAATACATGATTTAGCATGAATTATCATGAACAATATTAACTACTTATTTACCTCTCAGTGTCTTGAGGCAACTTAAAAAAGTAGATTCTGTGTTTTTATTATTATTTAGGCAGTTAAATACTGCACAGTATTTAGTACACCATTTTCTTTATTTTCTTCCATCATACACAAGAATACGCGTGCGTGAGTCAATGTTCGCTCGTATGTGAGGCCTTGTTGAATAGTATCCTATAGGTGGGCCATCGTGCGTGTTTTGTTTTCGATATAAACTCGCGGAGATGACCAGGCCTGGTGATACGTTCCATTGTAAGGCTGGGTGGCTAATACGATTAATAGAATGGTCAGTGTAAAAAAAAAATTGCTAAACCTTCCTATAAGATTTAAAGGTTCATAACTACTAATGAATGCCAAGATAAAAATAGCCTAAATTATTTTAAACGTGTTTTTGAGGTGTGTTTTCTTTTCTTTGCACAAATGATGCCATTAAAAGGTCAGAATAGTCACCCATTGGTCCACCAATGGTCGCCACTGAGCTACTAACACTACGTAACACAGATTCGGTGTGTATTAAATAAGGGTTTTCGCGTATGAAAGATCCGCTAGATGGCGGGACGTGGATGTGGGGTCTGACTGCTGCGTGATTGGTGGATTTTGACATATCTGCCAATGTCATGTCAAAAATAATAACCAATCATGCAACATTTGGACCTTGCGTCTACGTATTGCCGCGGATTTTTCATACGCGAAAACCCTCATTATGTTTGTTATTTACCATCGTCCTGTCTCCGGGCTCGGCGCCTCCGTACTTGTTGATGGCCGCCATGGCGCTCTCCCATGCGGTAACCCATGATGCCAAGTCGTTTGATTTGGCGCTGAAAATTATTTATATTGTTAGTTGTAACTCTACAAAAGACAGTTTGTGAAGATGGATGTTGATTATTTTTTCAGGAACAAGTACTGAATGGAGTTTGATGAAACTTTACAGCTTAACGAAGTAATATAAGATTTTAAACTTTCGCGTTCCATTTCAATTAAAATAGTAACGGGTCTTAACGCGACGTTTATTAATGAGTTACATTATGTACTCACGGCTTGACGTTTCGGCTGCGATGCTGCAGCCGTGGTCGCGTTAAGACCCGTGTCTTACTATTTTAATTAACGAAGCAATTTAATATGTAATCTTATGGCACTTGTCCACCATCTGTGACTTTTAAAATGGCTAAAGATAAGGAGACATCCGTAACTCCGTAAGTGATGACGCAAAATGCTGAGAAAGGTGGCAGAATTTGGCCTAATTTTGGAAATTTTAATACGCCACACGATTAATTTTAAATTTCTATGACGGGTCTGGGCGTTACTGTTTATAATATTATGTATTTAAAAAGTATATAAGTGGTATATCCTTTAAGCTAGCACCCAAACCACAAGCATATTAGTTGCTTACTTTGGGGCTAGATGGCGCTGTGTGAAATTGTCTAATAACTTACGTGGGAATGGAGGCCGCGTACCGGAAAACGCCGCGTGGGACGTCCACCTACAAGGTGGACCGACGACATCGTAAAGGTAGCAGGGAAGCGCTAGACGCAGGCCGCTACCAATCGATCAACGTGGAAAGCATTGGGGGAGGCTTATGTGCAGCAGTGGACGTCCTATGGCTGAAATGATGTTGATGATGATGATGAACTCACGTGGACAGAGCCTGTGAAGCAGCAGCCAGTCCCAAGCTGTAGATGCCGCCCGACGTGCCGCCCATGTCTCTCTCGGCCGCCTCCGATAAGTCCCACAGAACGCTGGCGGGCTCAGCCATGGGTGCTTCTTCCACATACGTCAAAACGGCTGAAATAAACCGAAATGCGCTATAGAAACATATGAACGCGTTCACCGATCAGATCAGAGATCAATCCTGCAACGATTTTTTTTTATGCTAGTCAAGGCAGGTATTTGACCGCAATCGCACCTGGTGTTAAGTGAGATGCAGTCTAGGATGGTACATATCTGCCCTGTAAGTGCCTATTCACTCTCTAGAATTACACGGACATTATGTGTCAGGAGAGCACCGAATGATACTAAGAAAAAAAGGTAATAAGGCGTTTCCCTGCTACCTTTATCAGGTCGTCGGTCCACCTTGTGGGTGGACGTCACACGCTGCGTTTTCCGGTACGTGGCCTCCACTCCAGAACCTTGCTGCCCCATCGGCCGTCAGTTCTGCGTACTATGCGCCCTGCCCATTGCCTTTCAGCTTGCTAATCCGTCGGGCTATGTCAGCGACTTTAGTTCTTTTACAGATCTCCTCATTTCTGATTCGATCTCGTAAAGAAACACTCACAATTTTTTTTTTATGCATGACAAGGCAGGTATTTGACCACAATAGACTTTCGTCTTGGGTTCTGGAATGGAGGCCACGGACCGGAAAACGCAGCGTGGGACGTCCACCCACAAGGTGGACCGACGACCTGATAAAGGTAGCGGGAAGGGGCTGGATGCAGGCCGCTACCAACCGTGCGATGTGGAAGTCATTGGGGGAGGCCTATGTTCAGCAGTGGACGTCCTGTGGCTGAAATGATGATGATGATGAGACTTTCGTCTTAAGGCATTGATGTATTTTGGACGAAAAGTCAGGGTCTATTTAGAAATACAAAAATTTTATTAAGACAGCACTTACTTTTAAGTTTAAGCACCTTTAGTTATAGTAATTTCATGTATGCGTGTTTGTCTTGTTGGTTGTCCTAATAAATAAAATAAAATAAATAAATACCTTGGGCAAACTTCTTGAGGGTGTTCCCGCAGTCCCCGTCGCCGCAGCCCGAGTCGAGCCTGTTTAACAGCGCCTCGTTCTTCTCTAACTCCCGCGCAGCTGTCGTCAGGCAGTTCCGAAGGATGTCCTGCCCTTTGGCAGAGAGGGACGGCCCTCCTGACGCTTTCTGTAAAGACAAAAACCTGTTTTATGCCAGCTTTCTCGTTGTATTTAGCATATTTCAACATCATCACCACCGTCTCAGCCTATAGCAGTAATGCCAACTATCTTCTTACGTCATCGGTAGTACAATGAGGGCTATCGTTTTAGCGCTCACCAGTTAGCGCCACTGTAGAGTAAGGTCCTGTCACTTGCTAGTAGCGAAGACAGTGGCACCAACTGGTGAGCGCGAAAGTGGTAAGAGGACTATCGCATTTGCACTGATCAAGATGGCGCCACTGTAGAGTAAGGTCCTGTCAATCGCCAGGGGTGCCAACTGTTAAGTATAAAAACGATAGCCCTCATTGAAGAGAAGTCTTCATTCGAAAGTTCGTTTTGCCCTGAAGCAGCGCGTGGGGGACCATTCTGAAGAAGGTATTATTTTAGGTTCACCTCCGTTACACTTGGATGAAAAGATAGGAAGATCGTGCCTTGAGGTGTTCCTTGAGAAAAGCCTACGTAAAACAGTCCCATTGACTAAAATAATAATGTAAAGCTCACCATCTTCTCATCCGTTAACAGTTTTTGAGTCAAAACGACGTCAGTGCCACTGCCCCCGTTTCCCACGGAAGCCTCGCCTCCCGGCCAGGCGGGGGCATTCGTTGGGGCGTCCAAATACCCCAACCACACGTCCGCTTTATCCTCAGGGAGGTGTAGCAAACAGATTTGGAAGCCGTGCATTTCTAGCGAAGACTTCATGTGCCCAGAGTATATACGTTCTAATTTGATTTTCTTGCAGTCTGAAAAAATATTACTGGTGATTACAATGATAACTTTTTGTTTCTTTAAAATAATATTTACTACATTTCTTTACCTAGATAATCCTTTATTTCCTTGCTAATGATGTTCATCTCCAGAATAGAAGTTCCTCCCAAATTGTTGATCATGGCTACCACTCTATTTCCAGGTGCCAGTTTCAAGTAATCTACAATCTGAAATACACCATTAATTTTCTTTGGAGATTAAAATATACAGGGTGGAAACGTTAAGTGATCTCACTCGTTCTAAACTATAAAAGATATCGAAAAACTGATTGCTGATCTTGGAAGTGCTTCATGAGCTCTATCAAACGATGTCATAAAAGAATCTCGACCGTATTCACAAACATTACTACGAGGTCTCACAGTGCGCGTGGACGCACAGGGTGACACACGAACTAATCACAGAGCCTATTCAACGCTGTGCGTTCGATTTTCTGCTTCACATAAGCAATCATCGTTTGTGAATACGGGCACGTATGTCTTTAGCCGCATTAGAAAGGAAACTATTAATTACGGTGCAATAAGTACCTTTTCGAGGATCAATCCGACCACCTCCTTGGCGGTGCCGATTTGCTCTTTTGAAATACCCGCTTCTCCGTGCACACCAGCTCCTAACTCCATCTCGCCGTGTGCGATCTCGAATAAAGGTGGCTGACCTTAAATGAAATGAAATATTTATTGCCAGATCAAGTAGTACAAAATAAAAGACAGACCTCCACACTAGGCACTGCCTGTCCTGTGGAGGAAGGAATCACGATTTACAAGTAGTATTAGTACCTAAGCAGAAATGCAATATAAGGATACAATAAATCAAAAGATAGGTAAGGGCATTAGGAATGAGTGTTGTGCATATAGTGCTTGTGTGTAAAAGTGTAGATGTGTTGTGTGTGAGGTAAATTATTTATTACCATGGTAACCACCAAGTGTAAAGGAATCTTCAAGACCTGGATCAAGGTTCCAAACTCGTAAAAGGGAAGGGCACTTCAAAACCTGGATTAAGCTTTCGAAAAACTGGCCCTACGGTGTATAGGGTTCTTGCCCACGGCATCCAGTTTTTCGGTTCCCTGCATTACTGAATCCCGCAAAACCAAGAAAACAGGACAGAACACAGAACACCAAACCTGTGTGTTCACATGGCACTATCCCGTTTTTTGTAGGTACGGGCAGGCCTGCCTCACTCCGCGCGGTACATCCGATAATTACCTACAGCGAAGCGCCCCGCCGGCGGGTATTATATCAGTCGAGTGTCACGCGCGCGCCCGTCGGGACTTGATGTTTTGCCTTTAATAAATAATTTATTTTGAATACAATTTATGATGTTTTAAGAATTTTATTGTTAAAATATTAACTATTAAAAAACCGGCCAAGTGCGAGTCGGGCTCGCGCACAAAGGGTTCCGTAGCAGCAAATATAATAAACTTATTATGTCAATTTATACACCTGGTGAATGGAGCCTAAACTCTCCCGATATTTTGCCTTGTACTTTTATGTATGAATATTAATTTTATATATGTATTTATAAATATTCCGAGCTAAAGAGGTGGCAAAAGCAATGGCAAACAAACCACAATCAATAGTATTCGGTTGTCGCTGAACACTTGGAAACTGAATACATGACTCCGATAGATACGGAAACAAGGCTTTTACATATATTTTTTGCGATTTTCCTAGAACACCAACAAGACTATCGTACACACGCAGTATTCCATTAATGTAATAAATACAACTCCAGTGCCCCACTAATCCCACGTCACCGTCATAAATTACTTGAAGGTGCGTCTCATTTTTAGGTACAGGTTCAATCAGTTCAGGGTGTTGAAATAATTCTAGCTCACGCGGTCTAAATGGTGCACCATAGCAAATGGAGCTTAAATAAGTGGCCGAATATATTACTCGGAGGATTTTAAACGTTAGACCCCACGTCGAGGTTGAAATGTGACTTAAGGCATAAAAGTTCTTTTTAGCTTTTTCACCGATCTGTTTAATGTGCTCGACAAAACTAAAGTTTTTCTCTAAAATTAGTCCGAGATAGCAAACAGATTCCCGTTTTTTAACAGTTATTTCATTGAATTTAATGCGAGGCAAAACTTTAAGATTACCTTTTAATAGAAGCTGATAAGTTTTGTGAGGGGCAAACTGCAAACGATTCCTGTCTCCCCATTGAGATATTAAATTCAAGCATGTATCCGCTAGATTTTCAAGCTTTGATCTAGTGTCAGCCTCTATTAAAAGGAGACCGTCATCAGCGTACCCGGTTAACGAACAGCCTTCGGGTAGTGGTAATGCTAGAAAATCATCGAAACCCAAATTCCAAAGGTAGGGCCCTAGGACCGATCCTTGGGGACAGCCGCGCGTGAGCACCTTTGATTCAGCATGATGGCCGAGTTTTAATTTAGTTGTACCGTTACAAAAGTACGAGTGCAGTAGTGAATATATATTACTATAGCATCCACGAACTTTCAGTTTTAAGAGCAGGATCGGCCACCAAGCATTGTCGAAGGCACCTGAAATATCGAGGAATATTCCTACAACGTACTTTGCCACCGAGGACGTCACTTTTTGTCTAACAGATATTACTGCATCTGCAGTAGACTTCCCGGCGGTGAAGCCAAACTGCTGCTCGTGAAAAATTGGACCACCCGGTAGCAAACGCGGCACTACTAATCGCTCCAACAGTTTACCTAATGAGGGAAGTAATGTAATAGGTCGGTACGATTTAGGATCTTCGGGCGGTTTGTCACCTCCCATATTAACTATTACCTTTCCGTGTAGGTAAATGAAACGGAAGAGTAACATCGATACACCAAATTACGACAAGCTAGTTCTTTTACCATAATGCATAGGTACCCCAACAATATTCAGTAAAAAATAAATTATTGCCAAAGTACAGCGAGTAACATTAGATTAAGTTTGTGCAAAGCCAAATACAAATATGATTTTCGGGTGACGCCTCTCGTTCTAGGATGTAGCCGTTTCGTGTTTGCGTAGTAAGTAGGTAGGTATGATGTCATTCTTTCTTCTGTTCTAGTAGGTATGTTTAATTTATTTGTCTTATGTTAAAATAGGTATGAATGAAGACATTGTATTAAAATAAGTACTTTTTTATCCTAAGTAGGTATATTTAAAATGTTATTTTTACAAAGGTAAAATAACACTAATACTTACCTACATACGTACCTCATTACAAGTATCTAAGTAGATTAATTCTATTTTTTCACTAGACAGCATAGCAACCCTAACAGCGTAAGAAGAGTTCAGAGACATGCGATAGAAAGAGACAAAACTTGTAGGTGAATAAAATTGTAGGTACGTAGTGCTGTGCGAGCTGAATTCCACTGTATCGCGTCGTAGCAAGACTCGCATTTATTTAAATCGTCTTGCGGAGTAATCCTTCTGTACCTGTACTATTACTTATTCTGTGGTACGGGTGCGTGTTTGCAGATAATATGTTATAAAGAAAGTTGCTAGTGGGTATACGTCTAATAAAACAATACTTAAATAAATAAATAAATAATAATATATCTTTGGACAATTTCACACAGCGCCAATTAAATTGGATTTAATTGGCCAATTAACACTTGTAATTAAATTGGATCCTGTATTTATTGGTCCGGTTTAATGAAAAAACACATTGGACAGTAGCACAGGCTATCTTCTTCGTTCGTTCGTTTCAGCCGAAAGATGTCCACTGCTGGACAAAGGCCTCCCCAACGATTTCCACAAAGACCGTTCCTGCGCCGCTCGCTATCTTCTTAGTTCGTTCGTTTCAACCAATCGACGTCCACTGCTGGACAAAGGCCTCCCCCAAGGCTTTCCACAATGAACGGACTTAGTAGATACATAATAATTACCCGGCAAAGAACAGGGGCTGATGCAGACTCCAAGAGTGCCCATGTACTTGACAGCCTCGGCCGCCGCGTCCCTCATTGATGTCAGGTCGGCACCTTGGGCGGCCATAGCGCCACACATCTGGAGATTAGAAGAATGTGTCATTGATCCATCATCATCATCGTCAGTTAAAGAATATTGCACCTTTCCGAAGTAAATTGGTTTTTCCTCCAAGTGCCGCCTCCTCAATAGTGTCTGCGCCTCCGTTTAGGTCATCGACAAAACTATTATGCTTCAAAAGTTTAGCTGCTCTAGGATAAACCGAACCTTCATCAGCCGCTAACTGCTGCAAACACCGAATGGCAACAAATGGACTTGACTTAAGACCGTAAGTATTCGTGGTGAGGCTATAAACACCTACGGGATCCGTACTATGCTCTCTCCAGAGTATTAATTTGGTGGTTATTTTTAACCGACTTCAAAAAAGGATGGAAGCTGTCTTCGATTTCAATTTTTTTATAGAAAAAGTAATGATGAACGTCATTTTATTGAAATATTTTATTGTTACTGCTGTATATGCCTATTTTATTAGTCGATCATTCATTTTCCTTCGTTCATAATAATTTCTTTGCAAGATGATGAATGTTGGTTTCATCATCGTGTGCGTCTTAAATAAGATAGTGAAGAAACTTTTTTTTTCTATGTATGCCATACCTTGAATAAGAAGACTTCGGACAACATGCCTCGACCTCCAGTCTTGTTGTGACTGGATGCGACATCTTCACCTAATATCACTCCTTCTGCCTGATAACAAGATTCAAACTTCAATGCCTAGTGTACCTACCATTTGCTTCTTTTAAAGCTTGATTATGTATTCAAGATCAAAATGTTTTTGACACTATATTTGGTGGTGAATTGTGATTGGGATCCAGGAAAAAGTAAAAAGTGAAAAAGCCCAAAGTCTAAACTAAACAAAGAATACAGAAGTAATCTATGGTAATACCTTAATTCCAGCCAGTTTAGCCTTTTCGATGGCCTTACCGAAGTTCAGTCTGTCACCAGTGTAGTTCCCGATCAAGACGAGGCAACCTCCTGAAATGAACGGGGTAATGGTCACTTTCCAGTGACCAAGAGCTTGCTACTGCAAAAGTTTTGCCTTTAAAAGTGGCAAGCGTGACGTCACATGGTGACACTTCTAGGACAAAAATGTCCCGCGACGTGTGGCTTCGTCGGAAGAAGCGCATGCGTGTACTTATTATAGAGAATGGTCTGGTGCCCCCCAAGGATGTTGGGCTACCGATCCGAACTAACTCATGAGCTCTGATACTAATCAGATATTAAATATCTGATAATAAAGTGTATAGCTGACTTAAGTTACCTTCGATAGAAGAAGAACTAACTTACGTTATCAGTCATTACCTTTATTATACTGGGCAAGATATGCGATGGTATACAAAACGTTGCCGGTCGGTGGGGAAGCGAATATGCCGCCGGCTATGGACCCATCCAGCATTCCTGATCCGACGAAACCTGAAGATCACAACAGAAGATTTATTAATGATCTGGAAATATCTTTTACAGCTGAACTCTCGATTGGGATACTCCCGGAGATTCTAGATTCGATTCAGAGGTGGAATTATGTAAAGCAATCGTAATCATTTGACAGTTCATAACGTGTATGATAAAGTCAGTTAAACAAAGCGTTTGCTTTAAACAATTCCACCGCAGATATGGGACATAACTTGTTTAAAAAATGCTCTGCATTTTTGGATCTAGCATGGAAAGGGGATTAGAGTCTACATGGCATACGAGAATAAGTTATTTACCTGCTGCAAAAGGTTCATGTCCTGAACCTCCACCTCCGATTAATGCAACTTTTCCAGTAACCGTCTGAAAAAGAAAACAACTGCACTGTACACACTGACAGCATATCCAACTATATAAATCCCTCACTGTGGCAACATAGTATCGAAGTATTACGAGTGCAGGATGGCGTCGTCGGCAGATACCGTTTAGGTGCAGAACGTCCAAGTTACAATATGTCCAGTGGTTGCAAAATGTCCAAGTAGCAAAATATCCAGGTCAAAAAAGGTAATACAAAGGTACAATAGGACCTACTGTATCTAAAGAAAATGTAGCTTTTGCTACTGAAAAAAACTGAATACATTTTCTTCAACCGTACTACCTGTGATCGGACCGTGACAACTCTGTGCATCGGGTGTAAGCGTAGCATGGGGTACATGGCCACCAGACCATGCAGGTTGTCGTCCACGCACGTCTCCGGCGAGTTGATGATCTTTGACGTCACTGGCTTCGCCGCCATCTTGGCTGGAACGCCAAAAGTAACTTAAATACCAAATAACTTTCGAACTGCTCCAGCTTTATGTTTCAGTATTCAAATACTTGCATAATAATGCCCAAAATCATAATAATACTCACTAGCGTTATTTATTTGCGTTATCTCTAAGAAGCAAAACATTCATAATGATAAATTTTATTACATAAATTATATTACCAGCAAAAAACGAGAAAATAACAACACTTGTTATCGCCAAACCATGACATTATTCGTTCATTAACTGAATAATAATCATACTACTTACATTAACTATAAACATAAGAATATTAAGTATTATTGTTGTTTACGAATCAAACTACAATCCAAATACCTTTTTTCCTAGTTAGAGTTTTATGTGATCTAGACAATATGATATTTCCTAAATATTATTTAGGTAAGTAGGTACTTACATTGAAAAAAGCGATAAGAAAATGCTATTTTAATAACGAAGTTAATGCAGTATTGTTATATGCGATAGTGCTTTAAACATTTAAGTGCCTAATAGCACTCGTTTGTTCTCAACATCTTCAGGCTAAATTTTAATTTACAAAACACTTACATGCTTCTCGCAGGTCTTTTTATTGTGCCGTAATATTATATTAAAGCTAATAACTTAATCAGCCAATTGTAGACTATCAGATCACAAGTTATCACCAGCCTACGGCTCCGGCCCAACTCCTGGGGAGCCATAAATATCTGCGAGTGTCTTAATCTTAAAAAAAACAATAGGGTTGACAAAAAATTGCTTCGGTGATAATGCCGGTAACTAATTACAGAAAGTTTAATTTGCTACCTACATTTCTTTGCGTTCATTGCCACAGGGTCAAGTGACCAGTAGTAGGTACTTTTGTAATGTGCCAGATAAACTTTATGTAGAGACATAAGCTTATGAAAAAAATAAGACTGATCAATAACAACAAGACTAGCAGTAGACAAACAAAATGTTCTTGAGATCGATTAGGGTCAAAAAACAACAACAGTCTGTTGATGAATTGAGTCAGACCACGCACAAAAACATCCGTGTCTCAGTGAATGCATTAACTAAAGTAAATATCTTAATTATCATCTTTGTTTAGAATTTCGATTGATTGATTTTGTGTGGCAATAGAACTGCTGCCCAGGCAGACCTCTGTAGTCTTCTTGACTTCACAAAGAAATACTTAATGTAGAAATCATTGATTTCTACATTAAGTTTTGTATATTGATGATTTCAAATCATATTCGATATTTCGTTACAAATTCAAGTTTATCTCACGCCCACTGAATCGAGTCAATTACCGAACAATATAAGCTAAGATACGCCGTAGACAACCCTCAAACTACTGATAAGTGTTATCAGGCAAAGTTTACGACCCCCTACCGGTTGATACTTGCTGTGATACAGTCTCGCGCCGGCCGGATACTGAGATGCGCGTGTATCAAAATTATAAAAAATACATAATTTATAAAGCTACTTAGGTAATTTACATATTTCGACATGTAACAGCGGAAACTAATAATAGTAATAATTAAAAACTGTCAAATAAAGTTACCACTAAGTAAGTACATACCTACACAACAACAAAAAACTGACTTTACAAATGAGCAGGCAAGTAGGTAAAAATTTTTTTTCTGACCGGTATATTCTAGACCGGAAACTACTTTTCGTTGGTCTACTAGCTTCGTTGCGACCTTATCTTTTAATCAGTTTTATTTTAAGATAAAACATCGATATGACCATCATTGCCAACATTAATAACGCCATAAAATAATTTACCTAACGTAAAATGGTTTAAGTATTTTTTTATCAAAATAAAACTTACTTTGTGACATCCTTCTAGGTATGATTAGTAAAACACGTCTCCAAACATAACTCACAAACTACAGTCTACACATTAGCAACGAGACAAATAAACTCACAAAATAAACATCTCAACGAGAATACTCGCTACTTAGTACTCGTAGTTGTGATATTGCCAGTCTAATTACTACAGCCAACTACTTACAACCTCCAAAGGAAGCAAAACACTGCCACTAATTTGCATTTTAAACTCACGGAAAATTATTAAAAACTTCGAACTTTTACACTCAATATTGATATTTAAGTTGGAGTGTTAAGAGTTATAGTTATTTGATTCAACATCGACATGAGACGTTGGAAGGCGTTTGTGACAATAAGTGCCACAATCGGTCAGTGCAATACAAGTCGGACGAATTAATCACAAGTAGTAGAACTGACTATTTTTAGACGGGGATTGATCATGCACGCGGGTTGCTCTTCAACTAGCAAGTAAGTAATAGGTAATAGTTCACTCCTAACTGAATTATAAACCGATTAAACCTCAAGTAAAAGAGCAAATATAGGACACACTAAGTGCAAAATAATATTCTATTGAAACCGAAACTAGTCTCAAAACACAGCTGAAACATTAAGCGGTTGTTATATTTTAAATAGGTACGAGGACTGTTTGGATCGCAGAGGATAATTGCGAACTTAACTGATTATATTGACTACTAGCTTTCCGCCCGCGGCTTCGCCCGCGTGGAATTTTGTCTGTCACAGAAAAACTTTATCGCGCGCGCGCGTCCCTGTTTCAAAAACCGGGATAAAAACTATCCTATGTTCTTTCCCGGGACTCAAACTATCTCTATGCCAAATTTCATCAAAATCGGTTGCGTGGTTTAAGCGGGAAATCGTAACAGACAGACAGACAGACAGACATACAGACAGAGTTACTTTCGCATTTATAATAATATAGTTGGGATTCAAATGGGGCATTTGGTGCCCATACTCCCCACGCTCTGCATAAACGACTTGGGGACGATAATGATGTCACCAGTTCGCAAACTCAATTGACTATTTATTGATGTCAAAACTGCCTAAAATCTGATTACACAGAAAAATGAAAATTTGCATGTATAGTCAGCGCAAAAATGGTTCGTGACACCCAAGTAGTCAATAACTTCGCAACACGTCTTTGTTACATTCGAATAGGGTTGTGTTGTCAAATTTTGGCCACTTTGGGTGTCACGAACTATTTGACGTTGACTGTACCAGTGGCGTAACTATACCATTCATGGCCCGTGGCTCCCCTAGCCACGGGCCATGAATGGTATATATGTTACGGTCAAAGTGATAAATGTGAAAATTATGAATAATCGCCGGTTATTATGAATAATCACCGCATGATTTGGTAAATGTGATTAATATGAGGTCATTTATGTGTGTATAAAACTAAATAGGTGGCTTAGGGGTGGCCCAAGGGCCACCCCCGCCGCACCTTAACCTATTTTTCACTTTAAATCAAAACATTATGTTATAGGCATCATGGAAAAGTAATATTATGCAAGAAACATTCCAAACTCATTATGTCAAATTATATTAATATATGCTATCAAAACGTTCAGGCTGTACACGAGCACGTACACAAGATGTTGTTCTCTTTTATGAAATTTGTTAGTACTAAGGTTGAATTATTAAATAATCACTGTTAAATGTGATTAATTTATCACTTTTACCGCGACTGTCGGTAATTATTCATAATAACCGGTTATTATTAATAATTTTCAATTTATCACATTAACCGTAACATATACGCCAAACCCTAGGGTTTGGCGTATCTAGGGTTATTTTACAGGGGGGCCCCGGGACTATCGCCCTGAATAGGGTTGCCAGGTGTCCGGCTAAAGCCGTGTGGTGTTTGGCTTTTTACGGTCTTGTCCGGCCAAATATTGTCTTGTCCGGCCTGTCCGGCTTTTGTTAGGCTTTTTATGTGGCTGCCGCGCCAGGCGAAAGTCGATCTACAGAATAATATCAAGCACACGCATCAGGATTATCACGCAACCGATGATGATAGTACTAACCGTGAGCTGTGACACTAATTGCACCCCATGAAGCACAGAGTCCGGCTTTTGTGTTTTTAGACCTGGCAACCCTAGCCCTGAAGCATCGCGAGGGTGCGATTAGGACCTTGGACCGGGGGCCCGTGTAGTCACCCTATAGTTACTGACTACGTTCTGAGTGCAGGGTGCAGAAATAAAACGCCATATCGTTAAATATATTTTATGCAGCGTTGATAGTAAAGGTGTCAGTGACGCCGGTAAAGTTCGAAAGGCCGCCGAGCAGGCCTCGCGCGGTGCCCCAGTACTCCACGCGATAGCTACCGGCGGCAGCGTCGGTTGGTACCGTCCAGTTGATGATGACGCGACTGGTGGCTAGTAAGGTGGACTGCCGCTCCCAGGTGAAGCTGGAAGGTTTAAAATGTTTTAAGGCTCTGGGTCTAAATATATACAAACTCAAAGGTGACTGACATAGTGATCAACGCACAGCCCAAACCAATGGACGGATCGGGCTGAAATTTGCAGGTAGATGTTATTATGACGTAGGCATCCGCTAAGAAAGGATTTTACGAAACTCCACCCCTAAGGCGGTAAAACGGGATCCACGCGTACGAAGTTAATAAAGTCATTTTTTGGAAGATAGGTAACATAGGTCGAGATCAGCGCATGACTGAGTCACTACCTGAGGTATGGAAGTGGCACGGAAGGGTTGACATATGACGTGGCATAGCATATAAGATCGTTTCGTCCACGAAGACGCGCCTCACCAATGTTTGGTCGAGGTCGCGCGGGGTGCGGGTAGTTGGACCCGAGCAATCCGAGTGTCATTATTGTAGTGTGCGTGTGCACTCATGGATAATTTAGCGTGTACCGATAACACTCAAACATTAGCGGAAGAATGGTGGGACGCGTCTTCGTGGATAAAACGATCTATACAAGTCTGAAGCACGTTTGACGTCATAAAAACACCCTCCCTTGCATGCTTCAAGCACTCAGTTATGCGCTAGACGTGTAGTACATATTTTAATTCATACAAAAGGCAGAATACTGCATTGCTATTAACATGGTTAAAAAAAATTTACTCCGCAATTCCGCTTACTCCATTGCAACAGCATTTTGTACTCTAGCGCCGTTTTAGAGGGTTTTTGGACTGTAATTTACAGCCTACTATAGTCTGGTCCGGGAGCACGTAGAATTTTGTCCAATGACCCCAAGCTATCCATCCTTATCGCTCGCGCGTAATTATGTTGCTGTCGTGTTCGCACACTCACTGCGGGCGCCCGTCCCACAGTCGCGACAGCAATATAATTACGCGCGAGCGAGCGATAAGGGTAGCTTGGGGTCATTGGACAAAATTCTACGTGCTCCCGGACCAGACTATACCACTTTTTCAACTCATCTCCTATCTATAGTATACAGTGTCTTACCGAGTCTCCCAACTAGCGTCAGTAGCCACGGCTGCCCACGCGCCAAGCTCAAACCTCTGCACCTCAAAGTGGCTGGATTCCTGTCTCAGATCGTTTCGGGGGTTCGCCGCTACCTGGTAAATATAATGTAATGTTATGGTTATGCTTTCATAGCCTGGAAGTTGAATAATCTAAAAGATTCTAGGTCTGATTCCTAAATTGACTACGCACAGGCTCATATCGGTTTGGAAAAAAAAGAATTATTTAGTATGTGGAAAATACTGAAAACACACCACAAATGTACAGTACAGAGAACAGACAATTAGAGACAAAGGCATTGGAAACTTATGCATCTCATCCAAAAAAACGACCCAGTTTAAGTCGTTGACTGCCGAGACAATAGTTTTATTGTTCGAGTACATGGAGGAATTTTGTAATGCCACCTGGAGGGAAAGTACTCTTAATACTGTAGATAGAAAATTTTACTGAAAGAAAACATTTCTTTATTTTTGAAAAGAAATTCAGATTTTCGAAAATTTTTCGAGAATTCACTATCATACCATACAATTTTCTGTGCATAATTAAAATACTAAAGATTTCATGGTTTTCCCTTCATTTGATTTATCAAGTTTGTTTGAGAGATTTCATCCTTATACTTCACCCTAACGATCGATGCAATAAAAATACAGTGTAATTTTTAACAGATTTTAGTTGGTTCGATTCCCGGGTGTGGCAACTGGCAAGCAATTTTTTGTAAATCTTTGAATGCAGTTCTATTTCTTTTCAAAAATAAAGGAATGTTTTCTTTGAGATAAATTTTCTATCTACAATATTAAGAGTACCTTCCCTCCAGATGGCATTACAAAATTCCACCCTGTATTTTTAACATGCCCTCTGTCCACTGGAAGTGTAGGTACTTGTGTGTTAGGTACCTACTATGTGGTGGTACTTACAAAGCTGACGGTGACGGTGTCCCCGCGCTGCACAGTGGGCGGCGGTTGGTCCAGCACCTGCCCGAAGCTGCGGCCGAAGCCGGCGCTGTCTGCCACCACGGGCAGGATGAGCGAAATGGTGCGGTTGCGGTTGTCTTCTGGCTCCGGCCCGGCGTCTACGTCGGAACCCTTGTGAAAAACACAATGATACTTCACTACATAGTATAAAATAAAGTCGCTTTCCCTATGTATGATTAGATCTTTAAAACTACGCAACGGATTTTGATGCGGTTTTTTTAATAGGTAGAGTGATTCAAGTGGAAGGTTTATATGAATACTTAGTAATTTAGTACCCGTGCGAAGACGGGGCGGGTCGCTTACTAGCGATACTATAGTATACTCTTACTTACCTACTCTTAGGCCTGAATTCCACCAGAATGAAAGATGTTTGAATTTCCAATCTGATTTTATTTTTAATAGTTTAATCCAATCACAGAACATGATAAACGCCATGTGATTTAGCGTTGTTTGTTTTGTAATACAAAACTTGGACTTTAAGAGCGTGACCCTCTCGAATTCTTTTTAACTGACTTCAAAAAAAGGAGGATGATCTCATTGAACTGTATGTTTTTTCACAACTCACCTCTATGGCTGCTTTGGTGAACTGAACAAACTTGTTGATGAATATGTCCAAAGTGTGAGGTCCGTAGATAGTCGACGCTGCTTCGTATCGTTGCACCTGGTGGTACAAATGTACACTAAGTAATTTTTATAAACAAGGTACACATATGCTTGCAAGTTATACATGCTTAGGTATTAAGTATAAACTATACTGCTCCATAGGCGCCCGGCCATGGTAGTGGGCTCTCCCAGGATCACCAGACCCCATAGACAAAGCACTATTGTCTGCGACACGGCAGCGGGTTTCGGACCAGCATTCCCCGGATCAGCTAGCTAGATCGGCTATTGACACCATTGGGCTAAATTACACCTGTCAAGTTTTTTAACTTATGTAGGAGCAGGTCTTCCAGCCAGGCTGAAATAATGTACGGAATTGCAGATTCCACGGGAGAAAGAAAGTGACCTGTGTAAGTCGTCCTCTCAAAACCAGTTTTCTCACCTGGTACTCCTCATTAGTGACCACATAGTGTATGTACTCGTTGGTTAACGCCGACACGACGACTCTCGGCTCTATGCCGTTCCTCTCAATACTTCACACGAGTAACTTATCTAGGGAGAAAGTCCCCCAGCCATATGCCGGAAGGAAGCCGAGATGATGAGGAAGTTAGCCTGTAAAAGCAGTATTCTTCAAACCAGTTTCCTCACCTGGTACTCCTCATTAGTGGTCACATAGTGTATGTACTCGTTGGTCAACGCCGACACGACGACTCTCGGCTCTATGCCGTTCCTCTCCATTTCGTCTTTCACGGCCGCGCGCATACGACGCCCGGCCATAGTAGTGGGCTCATCCAAGATCACCAAACCCCATAGACAAGGTACTATTGTCTGCGATACGGCAGCGGGGTTCGAACCAGCGTTCCTCGGATCGCTGTCAGCCAGTTTGGCTATTGACACCGTTGTGCTGAATTACACCTGTCACATGATCTGCGGAACTGCGGCTGCTAGGAGAGAGAGAATGTAGCCTTTTAAAGCCGCATTCTCTAAACTACTAAACCCGTTTTCTTACCTGGTACTCCTCATTAGTGGTCACATAGTGTATGTACTCGTTGGTCAACGCCGACACGACGACTCTCGGCTCTATGCCGTTCCTCTCCATTTCGTCTTTCACGGCCGCGCGCATACGACGCCCGGCCATGGTGGTGGGCTCACCCAGGATCACCAGACCCCATAGACAAAGTACTATTGTCTGCGACACGACAGCGGGGTTCGAACTGCGTTCCTCGGATCTCGAGTCAGCCAGTTTGGCTATTGACACCATTGGGCTAAATTACACCTGTCAAGTTTCGTAACTTATCTAGGAGCAGGTCTTCCAGCCAGATGACGGAAGCTGAGTTGATGTGCGGAACTGCGGATGACACGGGAGAGAGAAGGTAGCCTATGTAATTTGTCCTCTCAAGACCAGTTTCCTCACCTGGTACTCCTCATTAGTGGTCACATAGTGTATGTACTCGTTGGTCAACGCCGACACGACGACTCTCGGCTCTATGCCGTTCCTCTCCATTTCATCTTCCACGCCCTGCCATGGTGGTGGGCTCCTCCAGTATCACCAGACCCCATAGACCAGTCTTTCCCAAAGTGGGCGATAACGCCCCCTTGTGGGCGCTGCAGGCTTAAAGGGGGGCGGTAAGAGACCCCGGAAAAAAATCGGGGCATTATGTAGAGGCTTGAGAGGCGATTTATAATTTCATCTAGTAAGAGGACTCTTAGACACCGACTGAGCACTCGACTCTTGACTACAAAAATGGGGGCGCTAAAAAAAGAATTTATTCTCAAAGTGGGCAGTAGACAAAATAAGTTTGGGAACCGCTGCCATAGACCAAGCACTATGGCTTTACGTGTCTGCCACAACGGCATTCCTCGGATCTCGAAGCGGTCAATTGGATATCGTCACTATTAGTCTATTGTCGCCTGAATTACACCAGATGGTGGAGGCTAGAATGATGTGCGGGATGAGCTAAAAACCAGCTTACCTGGTACTCCTCATTAGTGACCACATAGTGTATGTACTCGTTGGTCAACGCTGACACGACGACTCTCGGCTCTATGCCGTTCCTCTCCATTTCGTCTTCCACCGCCGCGCGCATACGACGCCCGGCCATAGTAGTAGGCTCGCCAGGCACGTCCAGCATAGCTAGGCCTCCAAACCGTTGCCCTAGTTGAGTGACACGATGCAACATGGAGCGACACAACACCACGCGACGTAATGCGACCATTACTTCGCACGAGTAACTCACCCAGGATCACCAGCTGCTATAGACCAAGCACTATGGCTTTACGTGTCTGCCACAACGGCATTCCTCGGATCTCGAAGCGGTCAAGTGGATATCGTCACCATTAGTCTATTGTCGCCTGAATGACACCAGATGGTGGAGGCTAGAATGATGTGCGGGATGATCTAAACCAGCTTACCTGGTACTCCTCATTAGTGGTCACATAGTGTATGTACTCGTTGGTTAACGCCGACACAACGACTCTCGGCTCTATGCCGTTCCTCTCCATTTCGTCTTCCACGGCCGCTCGCATACGACGCCCAGCCATGATCGTGGGCTCATCCAAGCTCACCAAACCCCAAAGACTAAGTTCTATTGCCTGCGACACGACAGCGGGTTTCGGACCAGCATACCCCGGATCAGCCAGCTAGATCGGCTATTGACACCATTGGGCTAAATTACACCTGTCAAGTTTTGTAACTTATCTAGGAGCAGGTCTTCCAGCCAGATGAAGGAGGCTGAAATAATGTACGGAACTGTGGATGACACGGAAGAGAGAAGCCTGTGTCAGTCGTCCTCTTAAAACCAGTTTCCTCACCTGGTACTCCTCATTAGTGGTCACATAGTGTATGTACTCGTTGGTTAACGCCGACACGACGACTCTCGGCTCTATGCCGTTCCTCTCCATTTCATCTTCCACGCCCTGCCATGGTGGTGGGCTCCTCCAGAATCACCAGACCCCATAGACCAAGCACTATGGCTTTACGTGTCTGCCACAACGGCATTCCTCGGATCTCGAAGCGGTCAAGTGGATATCGTCACCATTAGTCTATTGTCGCCTGAATGACACCAGATGGAAGAGGCTAAAATGATGTGTTTACCTGGTACTCCTCATTAGTGGTCACATAGTGTATGTACTCGTTGGTCAACGCCGACACGACGACTCTCGGCTCTATGCCGTTCCTCTCCATTTCGTCTTCTACAGCGGCTCGCATTTGACGCCCGGCCATAGTAGTGGGCTCATCCAAGATCACCAAACCCCAAAGACTAAGTTCTATTGCCTGCGACACGACAGCGGGTTTGGAACCAGCGTTTCTCGGATTTCAGTCAGTTGGGCTATTGACACCGTTGGGCTGAATTACACCTGTCACATGATCTGCGGAACTGCGGATGCCAGGAGAGAGAGAATGTAGCCTTTTAAAGCCGCATTCTCTAAACTACTAAACCCGTTTTCTTACCTGATACTCCTCATTAGTGGTCACATAGTGTATGTACTCGTTGGTCAACGCCGACACAACGACTCTCGGCTCTATGCCGTTCCTCTCCATTTCATCTTCTACAGCGGCTCGCATACGACGCCCGGCCATAGTAGTAGGCTCGCCGGGCACTCCCAGGACAGCCAGACCTCCCAGCCAGATGACGGATGCTGAGATGATATGCGGGTGCCACGGGATAGGGAAGTTGGCCTGTTGTACAAAGACTTATTTTAAATAGAAAGACACGGGTCTTAACGCGATATTTATTAATGAGTTACATTATGTACTCACGGCTTGACGTTTCGGCTGCTATGCTGCAGTCAGTCTGCTTGAGACCACGGCTGCAGCATAGCAGCCGAAACGTCAAGCAGTGAATATTTATATGTCTTTTATTTTATTTATTTATTAGGTCTACCAACATTGTTACATAACAACATGTACACTTAAAAATGACAATTATGAACAAAGTTACAATGCAACAATAATGTATAATGTAACTTATTAATAAATGTCGCGTTAAGCCCCGTCTTTCTATTTAAGTCTAAATGGAACGCGAAAGTTTAAATCTTATATTCCAGACTTATTAAATGTCATCGGATTTGCAGGAGCACGACTAGAATCGTCAGGTTTTTAAGTCAGATGACGGAAGGCTGAGATGATGTGCCAGTGGATAAGGAAAATAGTCTTACGCCCGTATTCACAAACATTACTATGAGGTCTCACAGTGCGCGTGACCAATCACAGAGCTCTATTCAACGCTGGGCTTTCGATTTGCTGCTTCACATAAGCAAGCATCGTTTGTAAATACGGGCGTTAATCATAAAGGCATTTAGACTCCACTATACGAAGAGCGAGATCTTTTTAATTCTTCATAAGCAATAAACGAAAAAGCTACCGACAAATTCTTTATTATACGCAAACTATTAAGATGGGAAATTCGTTTGATGCGTATGTACCTTCTTTAAACCTGAACACAGACTTAAATGTTAAGTTACAAAATGATCTGGCTCGAAGGACCAGCAAGCTACGAGCATACCCGTCCAGTGGCCAGCAGGATGGGTTTGGGCGCGTGACACTCCTCGTCTTCCGGCGTGGCCTCCGCCACGATATCACCGATCGTGTCCAACAGTGGGTTTCCTTGTAACGTGCCCTGGAACAATTATATTTATTTTAGTTTTTCTTTGTTCAGAAAACCACAGCTCTTTATAATAATAATACAAACAGGTATTTTTGTTCTTACAGCCAATAATGGATTCTATATATTATTACGATCTCGTAAAAAACAAAGGGGCAAAAAAGAAACATAGGCTTGCATGCAGGTTGTGTGTGTGTGTGTGTATGTGTACAATTCTTTATTCTTCTTGTCAACAACAAGCCTACACAGTGTCAGCAAAAAACTCTATTACAAGAGTGGCGTTGTAAGTAGCATTCATTAATCTTCCTTCGTTCAGTTGTTTGGGCATTCAGGGCACAACGTCATAGTTAATGCTTCATCGACTAGGGAACACAAACCACACTTGCACTCCAAGTTTTTAACCATCTGAGAATCCCCACCTGAACAGATTGTCCTTACTACGGTCGACCTGCGTCCGAAGTCTATTTAAAGACTTCCAGGTAAGCCAGACTCCTGGCCAGGGCATGACCTGGACATGAGTCCAGGTGGAAGACTCAGACATTGGGACGAAAGGGCAGGGAAGATCGTCATCAAAGACAGAGGACACACTTTTTTACCTACATTTCTATTGAGGAAAGTGTTGAATCGTAACATTTATTACGTACCTGTGTGATATTTAATGTGTTAGCACCATCGATGGTCCCCGACGCGAAGCTGTAGCCCATGGCTGGGTAACACCCACTCACTTGTTCGTCCTGTCAAATTATTTTACATTATTTTTTCATGTCAAAATAGCACCTAAGGGCTCGTTCCTACGGACCGTTTTTTGCAGGAACTGTTTTTTCTGCCTGGATCCGTTCACGCGAACAGTGTTCCGCAAAAACCCATCCGTTAGAATTTGGAATTAGGTTTTGGTAACATGTATTATTAAAATAAATAAAATAAATATCCTTGGACATTTTACACTGCGCTTCTAGTCCCAGACTAAGCAAAGCTGGTACTAGACAACGGATATAAACATACTTTAATACTTTTTTTTTGTAAATACATACTTATTATACATAGAAAACACCTTTCCAATACAAACAAATATGTTCATGCACACAAATGTTTGTACTGTGCGGGAATCGAACCCGCTACCTCCGGAATAGTAGTCCGTTTCGAACCACTACACCAATCGGCCGACGAAAAGAAGTGTTTTTATAGCAGCGATTGCAGCAGTAATGTAGAAAGAAAGAAAGAAAAAACATTTATTTTGGTTCCAATTTAAAAAAAATATAACATACAGTTAAGTAAGTACACACGGCCACACTGTTAACTATCCATTTCCGTTTTTGCTCTCGCTCGCATCAAATGGTGATTCTTTGCGATATAACGAGACGACATGACAAGCAATGGATAGTTAACACTGTTACCGATGGTACAAGATAGTTAGAATCAAAAATTGCCACCGCTCAGCATATGTCATGTTCTGAAGTAGTCAAACCCAGAACATGACGCTGTTATTCTGCGGATGCCATGTCTCCAGGCAAATTTTGACCCTATCCTATATTCCTAATGTAGGGTTTTTTTAACTGGTATTTTGCTACCAGAATCAATGTTTTTTTTTAAATTTGATGTTAAGTTATTATCAAGTTACTTTTATTGAGTTTTGAGAGAGTAGAATAGTTTCTCGCAATTTAGGGTAGGGTGAAACTGGATTGCCGTGGAAAGGCCCCTCTCAATACACAAGTGTCCACTTACTTCGACGAAGGCCCGAGCCACGGTGTCGTAGCGCGACACGGTTTCGTTGGCTGGCTGCACGAACTGGTGTACCACCGCCAGCTCGCCGCGCAACTCTTCGCCGGGGGAGCTCAGTACCTCCTACAAGGAAACGGGTTACTTTTGTTAAGCAATATTATTAATTAACGGGACTATTCCCACCTCTCGTTCCCACCACTGCAACTCCTGTGTAGCCAGGATCTACAGCTTGACCGCCACAAAAACCCAACCAATGAAGGTCAAGTTTGTCCCGGGGGAAAGTTAAACTGTCATTGGACCCGCAACGAAATTAATCAGAAGAACATAGGAGGAGTTCGAAATTAAGGTTCGACTTCCCTCCATTGCAAAGCGGATGACAGGTGACAAACAAAGGTTTAAAACCTTTAAGAAAAAGATTATGCACCACGGACAATAAATTAAATTAAGGGGGCCTATCTTATGAGCAATTAGCAACTACCTGCCAATAATATTTTTCACAAAATCGCTTAAAAGCACGGAAATTTTTCCTTGTCGCGACAAGATCGGTGTAATAAATTGCGGAAACAGATGTATGTTGTATTGAATTAAGCATTATATCACGTTCATGTTTCCAAAGATTACACTCCCACAAGATTATTAATTATGAAAACATACATAATTACCTACACTCGTAAAGCATGCCCTTGTGGCGCGGTCAAGTAAATAGCTTCATCATCATTATCATAAGGTCAATTTTTCTCAAGAGTCTAGACCAGTGGTTCTTAACCGGTGGTCCGCGGACCACTGGTGGTCCCTGGAGACATTCCAAGTGGTCCATGAAGTGCACTTGCACACCCTGGTTAAAACCACTTTTGACTGATTTTTGCAGTCAAACTGGTTTGACCGATTATGAGGTGGTCCCTGACAAGACAGAATTTTGGTAAAATGGTCCCTCATGACTTAAAGGTTAAGAACCACTGGTCTAGACAAATGGATTGGCCTACACTCCCCACACTGACCTGCCAGATGTGATGGGGAGGAAAATTAATATACCTGTAAACCCCTCGAATGCTGTGTTTAGGAGTGGGTTCGAACAGCGGTCGAAAGTATACCTAGGACAATTTTCTAGGTGAAAATATAAATAACGCAATGATTTTTACTTTTGAAGGCAGCCTTTGGACTCACCAAAGCGCCTTCCAGCACAGTGTCTCCAATAATCTTCGCGCTCTCATACACATCCTCGCCAGGAGCCGAAGCGAAGCACCTCTCCCCCACATCGAATCAAGTCTTAGTCAGATGCAGCCTCACTCACCAAAGCGCCTTCCAGCACAGTGTCCCCTATAATCTTCGCGCTCTCATACATGTCTTCGCCAGGCCCGGAAGCGAAGCACCTCTCCCCCAGATCGAATGAAATCCTAGTCAAATACAGTCTTACTCACCAAAGCGCCTTCCAGCACGGTGTCCCCAATAATCTTCGCGCTCTCATACATATCCTCGCCAGGCCCCGAAGCGAAGCACCTCTCCCCCACATCGAATCAAGTCCTAGTCAGATGCAGTCTTACTCACCAAAGCGCCTTCCAGCACGGTGTCCCCAATAATCTTCGCGCTCTCATACATGTCCTCGCCAGGCCCGGAAGCGAAGCACCTCTCGCCCGAGTCACACAGCAGGAACTGGTTGTCGCAGACGTTGCCACTGAACTCGCAGACCGCGCCGCGCGTGTTGGGAGACACGTCGCCCAGGATGGATGAGAAGAAACCTGCCACTAGGTCGCCCTGGGAGAAATTAAAAAGTGGATATTGAAAGAAAGAAAGAAAGAAAAAATCTTTATTTGACAACTTTATAGTAAAAAATAAATACATTCATATCATTTTAGATCACAAACATCAAAAGGAGAAAGAAAAAAGGAAAAAAAAAATAAAGTAGTCAAAAAGGCCACCCACTCAGTAACGTCTTGGCCCATCTGCCAAGACACTGATTTTTAGTGGGCGCCTTTTTGTACGTAGGGGCATTCAATTATACAAAATAAATAAAAAAATAAAATTGCATTAAAAAATTAAAACATTATAAATTAAAATTAAAATAAAAAAAAAAACAAAAACAAAAATTAGAGTAAAAAAATATA